ACAGCACTTTTGACTGGTCTTCGTGGAAAAATAAGTACGCTGGAGACATTCGACAACTTAGATGACTACACCTTACAGCCAGTAAAGATTAAGTTTATCAGAAGAGAAGCGTTTGCGTCCGGTGAGGCAGTATTAGAGTCTTGCTCTAGTAAGCATCTCCAACAAGATACTTGTACACACAGCAACAGCCACACACGGAGAAACTTTTTTAAGCTTAGAGTAGTAAAACGCGACGCTCCGGTGGTAGTGATGATGCACAACAAAATCGACGTCAGGCCAATGTGAAGTGCTGGAACTGTGATGAATGGGGTCATTTTGATCATGCCTGTAGCCTCGAAGATTGGCCAGGCTAAGAGAGGAAACAAAAGCAGGGCAATAAAGCTGCCACGGGCCATAATACGAATCCACATGGCGATGTTCCTGGTTATTATAGCCCATACGAAGAAAATCCCAATGGCAAACCGGTACACATGATTGAAGTTGTGCAGAATGACGCTGCGTCTTCCTTCGCTAACTCCTACTAAGTCGCCGGTTGGAACTGCTTGTCGATCGTGTTGGATAAAGCGTCATAGGTGCACTTCTGTGGGTATCGCGACGCTTTTGCCGCGTTGACGGGAGGCAACGACACGGAGATATGGTGAATACAAAAGCAACAATGCTGAAGCCGAAGCATAAGGGTGATGTAAAATTAATATGGGTAGATCGGCTAATAACAAGAAGGCGACGATCACAATGGAAGTCATATTTGAGGGCGGTGCTACATTAGCTCTTCCCTTGCTGTATGAATCTCAAGGTGACAGAAGCTCATGAAACCTTCGTCAAAGTTGGTAATCGATAAGTCCGCCAAAGTGAGAGTATAATAGTTAGTGTCGATACTTAGCTAGAAACTAGACGATGAGAAAAGGAGGCCACGCCTCTTAAAAACTGTGGCGTAGCTTATATCACACAGAGCTCAAACGTTTCTTTGCAAACAGGGCAACTACCAAAATAATCAGTCATGTAGCATGAATCGCGCACCGCTGATCGCGGGGCAAAGAAGCTCATCAGCGTTTTATTCAAACCTTTTCGCCGATGCAATGAGCGTACGTTCCCGCAGACGCTTCCGTATGCGTCGCGCCCTCAATTTGCGTGTTGTTTGTGCCGTCAAGGAGCAAGATTGTTATTTTCACCAGCGGCGAGACCACACATGGAAGATGGGGCTGCAAAAATGCACTGTGGCTATCCGTCCGTTTGCCTACGGCATGCAGGCAGAGGCAGTAGACGCGTATATTCGCATTGGGAAAGTACCGCAATTGGAAGTTTCAAACACTTTTGGGCAGCTGGTCCAGCTGCCCAAAAGCCCTGACGTTGAGTCAAGGTGTGTACGGGTCTTAGGCGGCAATGCAGCCCGCCTCACGCGAGCTGAAAAAACAGTGTTGACTCCGTTCAAGTCGACAGGCCCACCTGCAGTGAGTGAAGACGAGGACGACGGTGAAAGTTCGTTCGGCCAGCTGCTTCAAAAGAGACGCCGACTTGCCGCGAAGGAGATAAAGTACAAGCTCTTGCATGCAATCCCTGCGACGTCCAACGTGGTGGAGCGCTTTGTTAGCGTTGCTCGTACCACGTTTGGCCAAGAACGCCATAGACTGCAGCCCATTACTTTAGAAATGATTCTCTTCCTGCGCGAAAATGCTGGTTACTGGGACGCACAAACACTTGACAC